TGTACTGAAAATCTTTTACAATTATTTAGAATAAACAAATTGGACAAGTAAAACTTGAATAAGGCCCATAATGTGTTTACACACCAATAGGCAGTGTGTGCGTGCGGGTGTGTTCATGCACAATCACATTCCATCAGTGTAATAAATGATTCCCTATTCTATTGATCCTGCTGTCTTACCTCTCACTTTCATGTCCTCTGTCAGGGTTGTTGTGTCATTGATCAGGCCCGTAGCCAGGGGGGGTTCGGGGGTTCGAAAGAACCGCCCCTTTTGCTGGAAAAGGTCCACTCTGGGTAAAATTTGATCTAGGTACATGAAGTTTTTGTGGAAAAAGGTCCACTTTTTCAGAAAAAGAACCCCCCTTTTGAAATTGCTGGCTACGGGCCTGTTGATATTGACTGAAGAAAGACATGAAAACAAATTAAACATCCCATACATGTGTGCACCACAAAGATTCAATACATTACTGAACATAGTCAAAGAAACATTGAAAGATTTATGTATTACTGGACAGTGAATTTTAACTCAGTGTTTGTGCGTGAAAGTCTCCACCCTAAAGTTCATCTGTGTGTGTTAACATTTTTTAAGTATGTTAAATGAATTCCAGTTAAATTGTCCTTACTGTCTTACCTTTTTCTTTGATGCCCTCAGCATCTGATACACTCTTTGTGTCTTTGATATCAGCTGAAAAAGTGATATCAAATAAAATTTTAACATTCTATATATGTGCATTTTCAAATAGAACTCAGCATTGCAATTTGTTAAGAACATTCAAAAATTTAACTGAAATTATCTTCTTAAGTATGCTAAAGACCAGGCTTTGTTTGAGCAATATGATTGTGGTGTGTATAAATGTGTGTGTGTGTTTGTGTGTGTCATAAGTATATTAAAATTCAAATTATTTTACTGAGATTCCTGTCTTACCTATCTCCTCAATATTAAGGGTCTTAACAATTTTAACATTTTTCTTGGCTTTTTTATCATCTGAAAGAACAGAATTGAATTGAAATTTAAAGACAGCATTATGTGTGTCCAGTATTTACACAGCAAATTCATTAATTTTTAAGAAGATAAAATATCTTCTTAAGTCTGTCAAAGGCCAGACTTTGCTTGTGCAACATGTGTACAAGAAGTGTGTGTGTGTGTGTGTGTGTGTGTGCACGCGCGCAATCGGGTATGCACAATCACATTCCATCAGTGTAATAAATAAATCCCTTTTCTATTGACCCTGCTGTCTTACCTCTCTCCTTCACGTCCTCTGTCAAGGTTGCCGTGTCTTTGATATTGACTGAAGAAAGACAGGAAAACAAATTAAACATCCTATATATGTGCACAACAAGGATACAGTACATTATTTAACATAGTCAAGGACACATTCAAACATTCTGATAAATGATCAGTGAATTTAACTCAGGATTTGTGAGTGAAATTCTCCACCCTAAATTCCACTTGTGTGTGTTAATGAATTCCTTTTAAAATGCCCTTACTGTCTTACCTTTTTCTTTGATGCCTTCAGCATCTGTGTTTTTGGTATCGACTGAAGAAAAAATGATATTAAACATAAAAACTTAATATTCCATATCTGTGCATATTCAAATACAATTCAGTATTACAATTTGTTGAAGACACATTAAAAGACTTAATTGACTAAAAAAATTAATATATTATCATATTATGCTTAAGACCAGAGTTTGCTTGAGCAACATGCTTGCAGTGTGTTTGTTAGTGTATGTGTGTGTGGACACATGTTTCATAAGTACATTAAAATTTATAATTATTCTACTGAGATTCCAGCCTTACCTAGCTTCTCAATACTTAGGGTCTTAACATTTGCTACATTGTTCTCTTCTTTGGTATCACCTGAAAGAACAGAATTGAATTTTAAGGAATGTGGTTCAATTTAAAAAAAATTAAAGTTTTAAAAATTCAATTCAATTCAATTCTGTTCTTTTAATTTTCGATTGTGTTCAATAATTACACCGCAAGAGCATTAATTTTTCTGAAGACTGTAAGACTGTCAAAGGTCAGACATACTGTGCAACATACTGTGCATGTACATGTCTGTGTATATGCATGTGCTAATGTATGTGTGTATGTGCACATGTGCATGTTTCATGTGTGTATTAAAGTCAAAATAATTGCTGAGATTCCAGTCTTATCTATCTCTTTAGTGTTAAGATTCTTTACAATTGTTACTCTGTTGGTATCAGCTGAAACATGAGAATTGAATTGAAATCTAAGGAAACACAATACATATATTTGTTCTTTCTAAACTTACCACATCCAATACATCATGGCATTGAGTAAAATACAGTAAACCTGGTGATTCTGGATGTTGGAGACAAAAGGGGGGTGTTAGTCTGTTAATCTGATTGTATTCAGCGAGAGTTTCCATGGAGTTAGTGCATATTAGCTAGGTCTTTAAATTCAGACTTGCTCCCTGAGAGTCAGAGTGTTGTAGCCATAAATAATTTTATTTCATGATTCCTTGCTAGTAGATTAAAAATGCACCAAGTTAATTGCTATATCTGCTGAATTATTGTCTTGAATAGAGCAATGCAATTATATAATGCAGTTCACTTACCACTGGTGTGGACTTCAGGTTCGTACAAGTAATTTAACTCTGGAATAAGATGTCACATTTATTTGTCATTCACAAGTTATGATATAGATTAAAATATAGTCTAAAATGTATTTGACGGAATTAAAGGGCATTTCATATTTTTTTCCATAGGATATGTTTTATAAGATTATGAGATCAAATAATCTTTTTTTACCATACATTATACATGACAAAATTAAAAGTTTAATTCACCTTTTATTTCCATTGGTTATATCAAATAAAATTAAAAGATCAAGCACCTTTTATTTCCATGTCCAGTTCTCCCCAAGTACAGGTCACTTCCATGCTGTCCTTGGTGGTCACCTGGAGGCACCTGTTCCTAAAGGGTTCAGGCTCCCATGTCCAGCCAGACCCAGGGTGGTAAGGCTGAATAAATAAATAAATAAATAAATAAATAACTTGATAATATGTTAATGTATAAAATGAAAAATAAAATGTTTATAAATATAAACAATAACTGATAAATCAAATACACTAAAGAAATAAATGAAGGTATAATGAATACTTTAAAAACATGTTTGACTTTAAATTTTCTTTTTCAATTTCAAAGAAAATCATTTTTTTTCCTTGAATTATTACTTTTTTAAAAGGATATAATACTTACATTTTGTGGCTTAATGAATTTCCATTCCATTTTTGAGCCCTTTGGCAGGAGAAACTCTGCCCTTAGAGACGGGACACCCATGTTGGTTGTCCTTGGCATGTTAATGCCACACTGGGTGTCCCAGCCTCCAAGGGCAGTTCCCCTGCCCACCACTTTTGCTTTCAACAGATTTTCTGTCAGAATTATTCTGACATTGGCCTTGGCTGTTCAAAATAAAATGTAAAATAGAAAGAAAACCTATCAATATATCTTTTTGATATTTTCACTACAAATATTAAAGTTGACCACTTATTTAAAGTAAATAAAGAATGGGATATCTTACTTTCAAATTACAAAGAAATTTATTAGTTGTTTTAGGCCCACTGTAATGAATTGCCAACCCATTTAACGAAACACATACAGTCACACACACACACACACACACACACACACACAACTTACAAACACACTGTTCTTTTTTGTTTATTTCAATCTCCATATCAGCTGTCATCTGCAATTTTAAAATATATTAAAATATATTAATAAATGAAATCTTAGTTAAACAAGATACAAATCATAGACTCGCCCTTCAAGAAATCGACGCCTTCAAGAAATCGACGAAAACCGGAAGTGCGTGTTTTTTTGCACTGTTTTTCCTGTCATGCCCATCGTAAACATTGTGTTGTCAAGTAAAATGAAGCGTCTGATACAAAGTATCAAACGCGGCATTCACGTGCTTGCTGGCGATGCGTTCAGTACACTTTGTTTACACTGACAAGTCGAGGTCAGAAATGCACAATGTTTTTCTATGTAATTACGCAGTTTCAATTTTGATAAGTGAATTTTCTTTTATCTGCATGGGAATTTTCCGAACATTTGTATAAGCCACAAAATATTTCTCATCGGAAAATCACCCAGCAGCTTTCCAAGTACAAGCGAGTGACGTCATGACGCACTTCCGGTTTTCGTCGAGATCTTGAAGGGATTAGCGTTACGGTTTGCTGCACATTTAAAGCGTTCTTTCTCAAAATGTACTCAACTGCTTGGATTGAAATTTACAGAACTTATTCTTCACATGATATCACACATATGTACTTAATTTGAGAGCTTTAGCTGTTATATGTTTTCTACATTGCCCATTCAAATTTGAAAAAGAGCTATTTTCCGTCGATTTCTTGAAGGGCAAGTCTAGATTTCTGTATCTTCATTTGATAGTTTTTGTAAAAAAACATTTGCACCATTACAAGAATGATCATCAAAACGTTGTGTGACAAGAAATTTTAAAGAATTTCATTAAAGAATGTTAATCATCATTTAAAAATCATGAACAACACTGTAAAAAGGTGCTATGTGGGCTTACTTTATACTTGATACAGGGTTTCAGTTTGGAATAAAAAATAAAACTTACCAGCGACTGTGTAGACATTGTCTCTTTGCTTTGTTTACAAAACAATAAAAAATTATTGTATAAAGAAATTTCATTGGACGGCTCCTGTATTGTTTCCATAACTTTCAACCAATCAGATTGACGCTTCGTTGAAGCTTATGACTTTCAGTCTATTTTTGCTAAATACACAATATATAACACAATGCCTGGACCCTGGTAATTTCTGTTGCAGTGCCAGAACCCTCTCCCTCCTTCCACGAGTTTCTTAGACAGCAGGCGATGAACCTGTTGCAGATCCTGGCTGCAGTCCATTACAAATCCAAAGTCTCACCTCTTGCACAGCGCCATCTATACTAATCAATGTTTATATGGCGGATCAGGCAAAGGGTGATGCCGAAAAGCCGAATTTTCATCAAATGTTCTGTGCACTAAGTGTCATCTTCCACCAGGACACTTTTCTAAGATGGTTCCGTTATAGATTCTTTCGGCAAACTTAATCCGTGAGTTCAGGATGAGACTTCTGAAGTGAAGGACACATATGGTATCGACTGTGTCAGTTGTTCACTGTTCACATCACGATGCAATGTGCTTGTGAAGATTTTACAATATGTGCTACAGAATGTTGACGTGCAGCTTAAAAGTGCTTTTGGAGAACTGACAAGATTGCACACCGTCATCTACTTCAAGTTTTTACCATTCCCTTTTCTTCCGTAGTTTTGCATTGGCTTATGAAGGTAAGATAATTAACTGGAGAACTGATGTTGTATCTGATTTATAAGTAGACCTTTTTCCTCCTCATCCTTAACTTACAACAACGCGTTTTTTTGTAAGTTTTTATGTACAGACACAGATGTGTCTGTACATATAGCCATCATCTGCGTCTGTCGTCGCCGTCGCCGTCGTCGCTGTCGTCGCCGTCGTCGCCGTCGTCGCCGTCGCCGTGCACTTTTACCGATAACACGATAAGTGGAAAACCATTTTGCCTTTTGATTTGAAACTTGCAGAACTGATGAATATTCATAATACGCAGGTCAAGTTCGAAAATCAGCATGATCGGGTCACTCTTAGGGAATTTATGCTGTTTTTTCACTTTTTTCAACATATATGCAGCACCGATAACACGATAAGTGGAAAACCATTGTACCTTTTGACTTGAAACTTACAGAACTGATGAATATTCATAATAC